ACTTCCATTTAATATTCAAATAGCCCTGACTGGTTGGCTCAGTGGATAGAGCGTCGGCCTGTGGACTCAAGGGTCCCGGGTTCGATTCCGGTCAAGGGCATGTACCTCGGTTGTGGGCACATCCCCAGTGGGGGATATGCAGGAGGCAGCTGATCGATGTTTCTCTTTCATCGATGTTTCTAACTCTCTATCCCTCTCCCTTCCTCTCTGTAAAAAAAATCAATAAAATATATTTTAAAAAATAATAATAATTCAAAATAGATAAAAGGAATAAATTACCATACTGTGTTTTTTAAACAATTGAATAGTTTTTAGTTTGATTGAAAACTAGCCTGTTGTAGTCTGCCTGTTTCTCTGCAAAACATGTCCAATGTAACTAGAAGAATGATTTAAATCTTAAGAATGTTTTTAATAACTGGTGCTATAACATCCTATAGAGAAAAATGTTTCTTATTCTTTTGTTTATTAAGTATTCGATTGAGAAGTCAAATGCAACAGGACAGATTTGTCATGTGTTTTCTTAAAAGACAAGTATAATTTTGTTGTTGTTGTTGTAGGTTGCAAGATAACAGACAGTTTAGAGGCAGGGACGGCAGACGGGGGTGGCCAAGTGACAATCGATCCAATCAATGGCATGGACGACCCTGGGGTAACAATTACCAGCAGCACAGACAAGAACCTTACCACCCTCACCAGTATGGAAACTACGGTTACAACCAACGGCCTCCCTATGGCTATTACTGAGAGAAATGTCCGCAGCTTTTAGTAAAACCGTTTCCTTTGTTAACAAGACAAACATTTGCGTGTATTTTCTGTTGGTCATCATTTTGCATCTGATTTTAGAAAATAAATTAATTTTTTGGAACTTGAGACATTTTTAAAAAAATAAGATCTTTCCAGAGAGATGTGATGGTTGCTGGGAATAAACACTTCCCTAAAAAAGTTATGGATTATATGGCTTGACTTCTACCTCAGACTCTTCGTTTCATGACTTTGAACTTGGTATATCTTTTCCTCGTTGGACCTTCAGTTCTGTCTTTGTTTTACACAGAAATAAGATAGGAATTTTAAAATAGAAAATGCTTGCTTTTACTTTGTAATATAAGGAAGTATCCATGTACTTGGATGTGCTCATTCCTAAAATTTTGAGAGACTGGTAAAATGAACTAGTGAATGCACAACTATCCTTCGTCGTAATGTGTTCTACATTAACTTCAGAAGTTGGAAGGTAAAGAAACTGTAGTTATATTTCTTTTTTGGCTCTTGCTATGTGACTATGGTACTTTCTAATTACTCTTTAGGTATGAGCTCCCCAATCATTTTTGTCTCTTTTTATTTTTAATCTTCACCTGAGGAGTAGTGTCTTGATCTAATGATCTAGGGTGGGATTAGGGCACAATCATTTTATACAAACTCTAAACCTAGTAGGTAAAAATTTATACATTATATAAAAGTGTCACAAAAACACTGTAATATTCCCCTTCCTCTTCAATCTTGTGTAAAATAAGGTTGCATTATTTGACTTTACTTACTTTTATGGTACTTAATGTAGGTTGAGTTTACAATGTTATAATCACTTTCAAATGTGCACCTTTCTGCATTCTCTTCAATAAACACTGTGATGCTGTAACGTCCTTTCAGGGTGATCATTATATTTCAAATAATTGTAGTGGCCGTTACATGGTTTTATTTAAATAAAATACTTAGAATATTAATCAATTTCTGTTTTGGCAGCTAGCCTACTCAATGTGGTGAGATGGGTTTTTGTCTTTTTTATTACTCTGTCCTTCACGTCCACTGAAAACAGTTTATTTGGTTTAAAAATAATATTAAAAGTACAAGTTTCATCATAGGCCGAAGGAATTAAAAGGCAACTTCCTAAATCTGCCTTGTCCCTTAGCATTCCGCTCTCGGCCCTTGAGGCCGACTTCTCCAGGTATCGCTTCTCCATGCTCCGGATCCAACTCTCCCCGTCTCCCCGGCTCCTGAAGAGCCATCCTCTGAGGTAACTCATTTTTGGGAAAGCTCTAATGAACCACATATTCACACTCAGGGTTTCCTCTGGCCTCTCATCACATCTGTAGGCAGCAAGCCAGTGCTGCTCCATGAAGGTAGGTCTTGACATTACACCTATTTAGCCTAGAGCAGTGGTCGGCAAACTCATTTGTCAACAGAGCCAAATATCAACAGTACAACGATTGAAATTTCTTTTGAGAGCCAAATTTCTTAAACTTAAACTATATAGGTAGGTACACTGTTATTAACTTCATTAGGGTCCTCCTAAGCTGGCCTTTGCTAAAAACATCCTCAATCTGCTTGAGGTATGTTCACCTGAGGTCGACCCCTTCCAACTCTCCCATCCACACTCATCTTGTATACTTGTTTCAGATAGTCGAGCATGGATGGGAGAGTTGGAAGGGGTCGACCTCAGCGAATGTACCTCAATC